TGAACTAGAACTGAACTAGAACTGAACTAGAACTGAACTAGAACTGAACTAGAACTGAACTAGAACTGAACTAGAACTGAACTAGAACTGAACTAGAACTGAACTAGAACTGAACTAGAACTGAACTAGAACTGAACTAGAACTGAACTAGAACTGAACTAGAACTGAACTAGAACTGAACTAGAACTGAACTAGAACTGAACTAGAACTGAACTAGTACTGAACTAGAACTGAACTAGAACTGAACTAGAACTGAACTAGAACTGAACTAGCACTAAACTAGAACCTGAACTAGTACTGAACTAGAACTGAACTAGAACTGAACTAGAACTGAACTAGAAACTGAACTATAACTGAACTAGAACTGAACTAGAACTGAACTAGAACTGAACTAGAACTGAACTAGACATGAACTAGAACTGAACTAGAACTGAACTAGAACTGAACTAGAACTGAACTAGAACTGAACTGAACTAGAACTAAAACTGAACTAGAACTGAACTAGAACTGAACTAGAACTGAACTAGAACTGAACTAGAACTGAACTAGAACTGAACTAGAACTGAACTAGAACTGAACTAGAACTGACCTAGAACTGAACTAGAACTGAACTAGAACTGAACTAGAACTGAACTAGAACTGAACAAACCGGAACTAGAACTGAACTAGAAACTAGAACTGAACTAGAACTGAACTAGAACTGAACTAGAACTGAACTAGGAACTGAACTAGAACTGAAACTAGAACTGAACTAGAACTGAACTAGAACTGAACTAGAACTGAACTAGAACTGAACTAGAACTGAATCTAGAACTGAACTAGAACTGAATTGAACTAGAACTGAACTAGAACTGAACTAGAACTGAACTAGAACTGAACTAGAACTGAACTAGAACTGAACTAGAACTGAACTAGAACTGAACTAGAACTGAACTAGAACTGAACTAGAACTGAACTAGAACTGAACTAGAACTGAACTAGAACTGAACTAGAACTGAACTAGAACTGAACTAGAACTAGAACTGAACTAGAACTGAACTAGAAACTGACTAGAACTGAACTAGACTACGAACTAGAACTGACTAGAACTGAACTAGAACTGAACTAGAACTGACTAGAACTGAACTAGAACTGAACTAGAAATGAACTAGAACTGAACTAGAACTGAACTAGAACTGAACTAGAACTGAACTAGAACTGATATTTCATCCTAAAACATAAACTCTAACTGAAATTTTTAACCAGCTTAAGTTTATGTACTATCTGTAAATTAACACACTCAACTAAACTTGTAATAAATTCCTAATAAATCTTAAACAATTTATAAAAAATTAAAAGCTAGAAAAGATTTTCAAAAACATTTACTTTGTTCCAAAAAATATATATGTAATGTAATAAAGACAACAATGGAAACAAAGGATTAGATTGTTAAACTTAGCAGACTTTTTTCCACTCGTATAAAATGAAAACTTTTTTGTTTTTCATTCCAAAGACATATTGCCAGCATTACGCTTGCTATTGTTTTAAAAATCAAAATGCAAATAATACAAAACATATAAAAAAGATTTAGACAAAAGAAGGACTAAGTAAAACTTTAAACCTATAATTTATAGCTTTTGCAACAAATTTGCCACCATTTGTTGTTAGAAGAAATAATAAGAATTGATTAATGATTTCAAATTCAAGCCAAAAATACTTAGACACATTCTTAAGGAGTACAAGGAATTTTCTTGTTGCCAGGCTTTACTCTCCTCATTAATGGAGGGTTTTTTTTTTGTGGGAATAAAATTGTAATTTACAGCTTCATTAGGCGGTTAAATAACCATTGGCTAATTTAGGCAGAAGGGATATAAAACTGGGTTTATTTGTGGATTGGGGGAAATGTGTTGAGAAAATTTTTGAAATGTAGTGTAGAAGATAAAAATGTAATTAATTTTGTAAGCAATGAAGGGGATAATTAAGCTATTTCTCAGAAGGATGGAATACCATGAAATCCATTTATTTGTAATAGTGAGGACTAGAATAATATTAATAAAATCTACAGTATTAAAAAATATAATGCATAACATTTTTTAATCTTAATGTTAAAATATTTTTCCTTTAATTTCAGATCTAGTTCAGTTCTACTTCAGTGCTAGTTTAGTTCTAGTTCAGTTTAGTTCAGTTCTAGTTCAGTTCTAGTTCAGTTCTAGTTCAGTTTCTAGTTCAGTCATAGTTCAGTTCTAGTTTCAGTTAAGTTTCTAGTTCAGTTCTAGTTCAGTTCTAGTTCAGTCTAGTTCAGTTCTAGTTCGTTCTAGTTCAGTTCTAGTTCAGTTCTAGTTCAGTTCTAGTTCAGTTCTAGTTCAGTTCTAGTTCAGTTCTAGTCAGTTCTAGTTCAGTTCTAGTTCAGTTCTAGTCCAGTTCTAGTTCAGTTCTAGTTCAGTTCTAGTTTTTATTTTTCTAGTTCAGTTCTCGTTCAGTTCTAGTTTCAGTTCTAGTTCAGTTCTAGTTCAGTTCTAGTTCAGTTTCTAGTCAGTTCTAGTTCAGTTCTAGTCAGTTCTAGTTCAGTCTAGTTCAGTTCTAGTTCCGTTCTAGTTCAGTTCTAGTTCAGTTCTAGTTCAGTTCTAGTTCAGTTCTAGTTCAGTTCTAGTTCAGTTCTAGTTCAGTTCTAGTTCAGTTCTAGTTCAGTTCTAGTTCAGTTCTAGTTCAGTTCTAGTTCAGTTCTAGTTCAGTTCTAGTTCGTTCTAGTTCAGTTCTAGTTCAGTTCTAGTTCAGTTCTAGTTCATTTCTAGTTCAGTTCTAGTTCAGTTCTAGTTCAGTTCTAGTTCAGTTCTAGTTCAGTTCTAGTTCAGTTCTAGTTCAGTTTCCTAGTTCAGTTCTAGTTCAGTTCTAGTTCAGTTCTAGTTCAGTTCTAGTTCAGTCTAGTTCAGTGTCTAGTTCAGTTCTAGTTCAGGTCTAGTTCAGTTCTAGTTCAGTTCTAGTTCAGTTCTAGTTCAGTCTAGTTCAGTTCTAGTTCAGTTCTAGTTCCTAGTTCCGTTCTATTCAGTTCAGTTCAGTTCTAGTTCAGTTCTAGTTCAGTTCTAGTTCAGTTCTAGTTCATTTAGTTCAGTTCTAGTTCAGTTCTAGTTCAGTTCTAGTTCAGTTCTAGTTCAGTTCTAGTTCAGTTCTAGTTCAGTTCTAGTTCAGTTCTAGTTCAGTTCTAGTTCAGTTCTAGTTCAGTTCTAGTTCAGTTCTAGTTCAGTTCTAGTTCAGTTCTAGTTCAGTTCTAGTTCAGTTCTAGTTCAGTTCTAGTTCAGTTCTAGTTCAGTTCTAGTTCAGTTCTAGTTCAGTTCTAGTCAGTCTAGTTCAGTTCTAGTTCAGTTCTAGTTCAGTTCTAGTTCAGTTCTAGTTCAGTTCTAGTTCAGTTCTAGTTCAGTTCTAGTTCAGTTCTAGTTCAGTTCTAGTTCAGTTCTTGTTCAGTTCTGGTTCAGTTGTAGTTCAGTTCTAGTTCAGTTCTATTTCAGTTCTAGTTCAGTTCTAGTTCAGTTCTAGTTCAGTTCTAGTTCAGTTCTAGTTCAGTGTTCTTCAGTTTCAGTTCTAGTTCAGTTCTAGTTCAGTTCTAGTTCAATTCTAGTTCAGTTCTAGTTCAGTTCTAGTTCAGTTTCTAGTTCAGTTCTAGTTCAGTTCTAGTTCAGTTCTAGTTCAGTTCTAGTTCAGTTCTAGTTCAGTTCTAGTTCAGTTCTAGTTCAGTTCTAGTTCAGTTCTAGTTCATTCTAGTTCAGTTCTACTTCAGTTCTTGTTCAGTTGTAGTTCACTTCTAGTTCAGTTGTAGTTCAGTTCTAGTTCAGTCCTAATTCAGTTCTAGTTCAGTTCTAGTTCAGTTCTAGTTCAGTTCTGGTTTTAGTTCTAGTTCAGTTCTAGTTCAGTTCTAGTTCAGTTCTAGTTCAGTTCTAGTTCAGTTCTAGTTCAGTTCTAGTTCAGTTCTAGTTCAGTTCTAGTTCTTCTAGTTCAGTTCTAGTTCAGTTCTAGTTCAGTTCTAGTTCAGTTCTAGTTCAGTTCTAGTTCAGTTCTAGTTCAGTTCTAGTTCAGTTCTAGTTCAGTTCTAGTTCAGTTCTAGTTCAGTTCTAGTTCAGTTCTAGTTCAGTTCTAGTTCAGTTCTAGTTCAGTTCTAGTTCAGTTCTAGTTCAGTTCTAGTTCAGTTCTAGTTCAGTTCTAGTTCAGTTCTAGTTCAGTTCTAGTTCAGTTCTAGTTCAGTTCTAGTTCAGTTCTAGTTCAGTTCTAGTTCAGTTCTAGTTCAGTTCTAGTTCAGTTCTAGTTCAGTTCTAGTTCAGTTCTAGTTCAGTTCTAGTTCAGTTCTAGTTCAGTTCTAGTTCAGTTCTAGTTCAGTTCTAGTTCAGTTCTAGTTCAGTTCTAGTTCAGTTCTAGTTCAGTTCTAGTTCAGTTCTAGTTCAGTTCTAGTTCAGTTCTAGTTCAGTTCTAGTTCAGTTCTAGTTTAGTTTTAGTTCAATTCTAGTTCAGCACTACGGAACCACGGAATAAATGTTTTTTGGATGCTTAATCTTGATTACAGTAAAGACATTTTGATCAAAAAATATATACCCTAATTGAACCTCATTCTTAATTAATCATTAAATTTTTATTTAATATTTGTAAAAAAAAACCCTGTTTACATGCAAATTTTAACAATCTCGTGCTCGATTTGCTCCAATTCTTGGTTAAGTACATGCATATGTAAATGCATGATTTTGCATGTTCAATTTTATGCTAATTTCTTACCATAGTATTTTATATTGTTTTTGTTAACGTTACGTTATACTTTTTGAAATAGAAAAACTAAAAGAAAATATGCATAAAAAATTGTACCAATAAGAAAATATTGCAAGATTTTCTTAGGTCTCTTAAAATGTTTGTATAAATTTGTTTAATACCAGCGGCTTTTTTCCATTTAAAAATGAATTTAAGATTTTGTTTGAATTGTAATTGTAGTTTTAACTTAAATAAACTAATAAAAAATATTATCTTATTATTTTAATTTTTCCTAGAATGCATCATAAAGCATTTAATGCATTATTTAGCGTCTACTCAATGCACAGCTGCTGTTGGCTGAATACTGAACTGAGGTTTTGGGGAAAGTTTTTAAACTAAAAGGTAAGTGGTTTTTTTCATTTAAAGTGTAAAAATATGTAAATTTCATATTTTTATACAATTTTATTATATTTTTTCTTCTCATGAGGTATAGTTTTGTTTTTGTTTGTGAAAGCAGAATTTTTCCTAGAAATTTTAAAGGAATTTTGTGCTTTATTTATTTGAAAGTGTATAAATAGTTCATTTGGTGGGGAAAAGGGTATATTAGATCAGATGCAAAGTTTTTGTATACAGTGGGGGTTATAATTTTTTTCAATTGAAGTTTTCTTTAATTAAATGTTTAATTAAGCAAAAAATTTAATTTAAAGAGGAATATTTTAAATAAAATAAAACACTGTATACTTAGTGCTTTGTACTTTATACTTTATACTTACACTTTATACTTTATACTTATACTTTACTTTATACTTTATACTTTATATTTATCTTTATACTTTATACTTATACTTAATACTTAATACTTAATACTTAATACTTAATACTTATACTTTATACTTTATACTTTATACTTTATACTTTATACTCTATACTTTATACTTTATACTTTATACTTAATACTTAATACTTAATACTTTATACTTTATACTTTATACTTTATACTTTATACTTTATACTTTATACTTTATACTTTATACTTTATACTTAATACTTAATACTTTATACTTTATACTTTATACTTTATACTTTATACTTTATACTTTATACTTTATACTTTATACTTAATACTTAATACTTTATTCTTTATACTTTATACTTTATAATTTATACTTTATACTTTATACTTTATACTTTATACTCTATACTTTATACTTTATACTTTATACTTAATACTTAATACTTTATACTTTATACTTTATACTTTATACTTTATACTTTATAATTTATACTTTATACTTTATACTCTATACTTTATACTTTATATTCTATACTTTTTGAAGTATTAAAAGATGTATAATAATTCCACTTTCGATAGAAACGAAATTCTTTGTCAGTCCCCTATATTAAGAGTTTCTGTGTTATTTGTAATCAAAATATATATTTTACTTCCCACTAGTAAATTTTTATTGCATATTTATTTTATTAACTATTTATTATCGCTCTAATTACAGAGTTTTCTAATTTATGTTCCCAAAACAAAAATCTACTTTAATCTCATTTGCAATGATTAAATTATAGTTTGTATTACTAGTCTGGCCATTTCATTTCATTTCCATTCATTTATTAATGTTTTTATCATTAAATAATGAAATAGTGTAACAACAAATTTAATTTGGTTTTATCTTTTGATGATTATTCTAGGAAAATTTATTAGTTTTTAGGAAACAATTATATTTAGCTTTTTGAAACTATTATAATTCTTTTTTTAGTTAAAAGTAATAAAAACCAATAAGTTTTATGTGGGAATATTTTTGTTTGTTTTGGGTTAAAATTAATTAAAAGTTTTAAATGGAAATTAAAGTGGGAATACATAAATGGTGGGGGCCACTTCATCACTTTGATATTTTATATTAAGACTTACTCCACTATAAACGTTTTTCTACTAATGTTGGGAAAGTATTGAATAATGCGTAACGAATAAAAAAAATTATCAATTCGGAATATGTATTACAAAGGAACAAAAAAATATGTATTCCGGATCATTATTAGATTCTAAGACAATCTAGCAATGTCAGTCCATTTATCTGTTAGTCTGTCTAACTTAATGTACGATAGGGCCCACAATCATCGTTTCTTCACACATATATATGTACATATGTATGAGAGCCTCCGTAATTGTTTAGTAATAAATAAGTTCACTATGCAGGCAATCGTAATACAAAATTCTTCCAAAATCTGTTTTATGAATCCGGAATTTAACTTCGGGTCACATTTGTTATAAGAACCTATATCGCTCATATGTGTATGAATTTCTCCAGCGGAAATTCAGTTTATTGTTCAAAAACGATATTGTTTTCTAAGTTCCACTAAAAAATCCAATTTCATTATCAATTTTATTCTTAAAAAATCAAAAATTGTTTGACCAAAAATCCCATTTTATTTGATAAAAACGATTTTTCACTAATAATTAGAATTTTTACATAAATTTACTAAAATCCAATTTTTTTAATATAATATTCCACAAGAAATTAAATTTTTCACTAAATTCCCAATTTTTACTAAAATTTCTCCTGCGGAAATTCAGTTTATTGTTAAAAAACGATCTTCTAAGATCGTTAGAAGAACGATCTTCTAAGTTTCAGTAAAAAAAAATCCGATTTCATTATCAATAGTCTTAAAAAATTTTCCCACTAAAAATCCCATTTTATTCGATAAAAAACGATTTTTTCACTAAAAATTGGAGTTTTTACATAAATTTACTAAAATTCAATTTTTTTTTTAAATATAATTTTCCACAAGAAATCTAATTTTTCACTAAATTCCCAATTTTCACTAAAATTTGAAATTTTTACTATAAATATCACAGTTTTATTAAAATCACATTTTTCATTAAAATCAGATTTTAATTTATCAAAAACTGTATATTTTGACTAGTGATTTCACTGGAGTGATTTTTGTGACCTTTGACCTCTAAGTAATTGTATTCGGCATATGACACTTAGCGCCATCCTATTGAAACCACTTCATTGAACACAACACGAGCTTCCTCTTGATTTTTTAGGAAATAGGGTCGACATGGCAGAGCCATTTCTTAAATTAGGCAATGTTTTGCCAAAAAAGTGATTTTCTGAAAGAGAGGTTATATATGGGGCAAAGGTAAATATGGACCTATCCGTATACATTTTGGTAGAGCGATTTACGATGACATTAACCGTATTAATGCAGAATTTCATTGTGATACTAGTGTTTAAAGGTGAATTTTCACTTTCTAGTAATTTTCTGAAGAGGACTTTGTATGGGGGCTAGGGTCAAATGAGGCCTGATCATTACGAAAATCGACAGTATCATTTAAACTTTTATAAAACCAAGATTTGCCGATTTTTGTATAGATTCTAAAACATAAACTTAGATATAAACTCAAAGCCCTAATCGGGGGGTACGGTTGTGGTAATTGACCGATTTCAATAATTTTCGTCTTTAGGTCTAAAGAAGAGTATGTCATATTTTATCAAATTATCTTGAAAATTGTAACCTGTAGCGTGCGCACAAAATTTACATGGACACACAGTAGGGTTCTATAGTTGAAACGAAAAGTCGACTTTTCGACTTTTTTTATTTAATTAAAAGTCGACTTTTCGACTTTTTGCATTTTATGAAAAGTCGATTTTTCGACTTTTTTCATTTAATTAAAAGTCGACTTTTAGACTATAAGTATTTTATAAATAGTCGACTTTTCGACTTTTTTCGACTTTTTCCGACTTTTTCCGACTTTTCGATTTTTTCGACTTTGTGACTATTTTCGACTTCTTTCGACTTTTTTTCGACTATTTTTTTTACTTTTTTCTTCCGACTATTTTAGAGTTTTTTACTTTTTTTCCACATTTTTTAAAATTTTCGACTATTTTGACTTGTTTCTACAATTTTTGAGTTTTCGACTTTTTCCGCCTTTTTTCGACTTTTTACGACTTTTCGACTTTTTTCGACTTTATTCGACTTTTTTCGACTTATCGACTTTTTTCGACTTATCAACTTTTTCGACTTATCGACTTTTTTCGACTTTTCGACTTTCAGACTTTTATTAACAAAGTCGACTTTTTTCGCAGACGATAGTCGAGTTATCGATTTTTTCGACTTTTCGACTTTCAGACTTTTATTAACAAAGTCGACTTTTTTCGCAGACGATAGTCGAGTTATCGACTTTTTGGAACAAAATAGTCGACTTCGACTTTTTTCGACAAATAGTCGATTGTTCGATTATTCGAAAGTCGATTTATATAACCCTAACACACAGACGGACATAGCTTAATCGACTCAAAAAGTGATTCTGAATAGTGTTAAATAGTGAGCGCGGTTATTTTGACAGTTTAAGCCCTTTGTAAGTTCTATCGGATAAAAAAAGAAGTTTCAAAATATTTTGCACATTTTTTCTGATTATTTACAATTAATTTCAAAAAATTCTCGATTTATTATAAAATAAATTTTTCTTAAATTAAAAAAAAAACATTGTTTATTTTTGTTAATTCATAAACAACACTTTTTTTCTACCACTGTATATAATTTAATACCTCTTGTATACAACTCTGTTTAAATTAAAACACTTACCAACACTATAGAGATCATTAAAATTATTTTTAGTAACAACAACAACAAAAACTCAACAAAAGCAAAATACTCTTTACAAGACTTCAGACAAACAAATGCTCTTGTTAAATGTTTGCCACTCAAACACTATAACCTTCGATAGCTCAGTTGGTAGAGCGGTGGACTGTAGTGTTTGAAACATTGTAAATGTGTAGAAATCCATAGGTCGCTGGTTCAAATCCGGCTCGAAGGATTCAACTTTTTTTTTATTTTTTTTTTTTTTTTAATTTTAAAAATTAATTAATTTTGTTTTTAAACATTTTTTCAACATTTCTTTTGTCATTTTACCTTAAAAATGTTTAATAACTTGACACATTTAAAAAGCAGCAAGTCAAGTATTTTTGACCATAAAGTTTTCGTTATATTTTTGCTTTAACTTTTTTTTTGAAATGTGGTCTACCTTTTTTTAACTATTGTTAAAAATACAAATTAATTAAAGTCTATCCTCAGGGTGTTGTTTGTTTATATTTTTTTTAGATTTTTTTTTTAAAAATAAAAACCATTTTTAACCTAAAACAATTTTACAAATTTTTTTTCTTCTTTTTTTTAAGTTTTAGATTTATTAAATATTTAAACATGTTTAACTGACAACAAACTGCCCTCCTACTCCAACTTACACTTTCTCCTTCTCCTACTACCTTCTTTAACAAGTCCTTTACAATTTAAGTATTTCACAACTTATATATGTATTTGCCGCAAAAGGAAATTTTCTTTATTTATTATTATAAAAATAAAATAGGAAAAATTATAAATGTTTAATAACA